GCCGCCGAGCCCAACGACGCCATCTGCTGCCTCGGTGGCGCTGTCTGCACGGCCTACATTCCTCCCAAGTTTGCCAGGAGAGAGCTGGCGTATGCAGCGCAGCTTAAAGTTGCGTCGAGGAATACCTATGTTCTAAAGACTGACCTTGACACGCTTGATAGCCTGGTGGGGCGTCTCCATAACGCCGTGGAGGGCGACAAGCGTTTCATTCACCTGGGTTTGAACATGGGTAATGATCAGCACACAGTCCAGGAGGTGCTCAAGCAGTTGGGGAAGAACCACCAGAATTTGGTGCACTACCTCCTTCTTCTTGAGGAAATGATATGCACTTGTTTTACCACCGTGAACCGCTCAAGATCTCAACTTCTCCAGGAGATTACTACCTCAGAGTCTTCTCATTCCTGTCCCTGATACTCCTACTTAACTCAATCTGGGATTCACATTACAGTTTTGTTCCTATACCAAGATTCAACCTGTCTCTAACATCCTTAGTTTACAGTTTACATCAATAGAAACTCAATAAATTCATACCTTCTGTAACTATTGTAGTTGACTGCAGTTGGAAATTTGAAAGCATTTCTTAACAGAGTTTGACGCGTGCTTGATGGGATGAAAAGGCAGAACTTTTAAATACAAAAGCTGCTTTAATATTGTAAGTTTTGAAGTAATCTTAAAACATTGCTTTCCTTGTCGAGAATGGAGAGCAGATAACACGTACATTTTGTGTACAATAATGATATCAAGTAGCGGAGGCATCAGCCTCTTTAGCCTTGGAAATAATCTCCTCTGTGGTGGTGCCTATGATCTTATTGGCACTCCTCAAATCTACACAGGAATATGCTCCATCTGCATCCTGTGTTTGGTTATTTTCCATGTCAGAGGAAGGCGTAAGAAGACATATTAATCGACATAAATGAAAATTTTGTCACTTGGGCTTAATAAGTTCTCACAGAAAACCTAGGTCAACTGTTGAGACATCATAACCACTTCAAAATTTGGAGGTTCAAATCCTCACTCACCCGGACAACGATCCCTAACTTCTCTAACTTGTGAACTGCATCATCCACGTCAAAATTACAGCTCTGCCCAAACTGTCCTTGAATCAGCTCCTCGCACCGCTTGTCGAGCTCCTACTCGCACCACAGAAAGAATAAGTCAAGCATCAATCAACAACGCCTCATTCATTCATGATCGCCTCTGTGAGTGGGAAAAAATATAATGCAATCACTCGTCCGCATCATAGCGCGAGTCTAAAGAGGAAGAAGGTTCTGTGTAAGCACCTGTATTGTAGCCTTTCCCTGTTTCATCAATATATAGAAGGAAATAATCACCTCCTTTACCTGTTTTGAGAGACGGGAATGTAAGCCATCGAGTAATGAACACCATAAATGGCATTGAAAATGAGGACTAGAAGAAAGTTACTTGCCTCCACTAGAAGCTTCAAAGCAATCTAATCTACTTTATATCTATATTATATGTGTATCTATAACAATATATAAAAAGAGTTTGAATTTTGAAGGATAAACTTTTGTCCCTACTTGAATAGCTATTTCTAATTTTTACTAATAAAGAATGTTATTTATCTTAATAAAACTTGGCTATGTGCAAATAGATCTTTCTTCACTGCTATAAAGAAATCTTTTCAAATGAAGTGAGGAAAAATATCAAAGCAATTAATACTCAATCCTGTGGCAAAGAAAGAGAGTGCTACTTACTTCTTGCTGAATAACTTCGTCACACAAGTGAAGAAGAGTGCCCCTTCCACTGTCTAGTTGTTTGTCATACACGCACCTTGTGATTAGGTTCTGATATGACACTAAATTACTCTGAAACCTACAGGAAATCGAAGAAAAGTTGGCACTAGCTAAATTGATACAGGGAAATACAATACTAATTCTTTAAGCAATATAAAGCTAGAGTCTAGAAAATAAATAACATTAGTCACACCCATAAGCAGAAATGGGAAGAGAGGAGGCCGTGTAACTTTACGAGAGATATGTTTTCACAGAGTAAACACTGACTGCAGAGACGATAGCAAAAATGACTCTGATATCTGCTGTAGGGACACTAAGCGAGCCAATAACAGTAACCTGTCCAAGAGGGGGGAGGAGGTGTTGAGAGAAGTGTATTTGTGTTCTGAAATCCATACAGAATTTGGGTAAAAACAGCAACCAACCAGCCCAATTGCAGCAGACACGAGGAATTTCACCCAGTCCATTGGAGTTAAACTTGGATTTTTCTTTTCAGGCTGTCAAAAGTAACATGTTTCCAGCAAAAACCGAGTTCAGAAGTTCCATACAACAGTGGCCGCACATTAGCCAATACCCGGAGAAACAAAATAAAAAAACACACAAGGGGAAGGTGGATTAGGAAACCTACGAGCACAATCTCAAGATCTGCCATTGGTATATTCTTGAAATGCTTCACGAAGATACCCCGTTCCATTTCACTATTCATATTTGCCGGCCTGCTCAATTATATCTTTGTTAGAAGTCAATAACATTTCTAATTTACAGCCACAGATAAGGACAATCGTGCACGCCAACCATGTTAGAAAGAAAATAAAAAAAAAATACAAGATTCTTATTTGAGCTTAAAAGCTTTCCACTCAAAAGTGGCTCAGAAACAAATCAAGGAAGAGAACCTGTAAACAACGATAATTCTATCAAACGTGGGTTCTTGGATCGTAATCTCGCTCAATAGCATAGAGATCCTGGAATATCATACAATAGATGATCAAAGGCAAGCAATCAAGAAATCTGGGAGGCACAAAATGCATGCCCATGCTTGAGCTCCCGAGTGCAGGAAGAAAGCATAGGTCTTCTCTGGTTAAACTAATCCAACCATCAATGCATGAAGCCAAATTATAGTGGTTGAGTTCAAACCCAAGTTTCATGTTCTCAACGCGGATACGCTCAACATACAAGCCATCATCCTCTGAATCTGTACTGATGTCAATTTGTTTTGCAAAGACCTGACTTCGGTGACTTCTTGACGCTCCACATTGAATAAGTCTATTTAACCTGTAAAAATAGAACAACAACAAACAAATGTCCTGTAAAGAAAACAAAGAAGTTTATAAGACAGATAAAGGTATCTGTACTCACCCTGAGATTTTGAGAAAGAACGTCCATATTCGCATAATTATGGTATTTACTTTTGTGTCGTAGAAGTGGTCGGTCATTTGGTCAATCCCAATACCACGGCGGAAAATGATGTACTACATATAATATAATACGATTCGCATCAGTTCAGTATGTGTCGTGTAATGCCCCAAGTGTAACTGTTAATGTTTGCAGATTACAAGTGAACTAAACCAAGGAAGATAATTAAGTATATCCTTTCAATAATCAATGAGGATGATGATATCGATAGATACATTCACAAATATCACCATTGTCCTACTGTAGACACAATGAAAATATTGTTTTCAATAGTAATAGGCATTTTAAAAGGCTAAAGACGGCCTCGAGTCTTTTCCTCTCGAAAAAGTGAGGCATAAGCCTCAAGGCGGTATAAGGCGTAAGCATCAATTTTAATTAAAAAATGATGCAAATCCTAAATTTGTGCAATCAAGTATGACTAAACATAATAGATATATAAAATTATCAAAATATTAACCCGTTAATTGCCACTTAAAACAATTCTAAAAAAAACATCCTTTAACATCACTACTATTATTACTAATAGAATTGACTTATCCTATAAATCGTTGCCTTCAATATTTTTTAAATCTAGATAGTAAAAGTAGTAATTAGATTGAATTCGTTACGACTCCTTCCTTAGCATTCCATAAAAAAGGAAAAAAAACAAAATTTAAAAATTGAAAAATTAACAGTATTCTTATAATCATTACACCAGGTACAAATACTTTAAGCCTCACTACATCTTCAAAGCCTCTTATAGTCTAAAGAAGGCATAAGACTCGAGGCTAAAAGTCAAAGCCTTGCCTTGAGGCAAAGGCCAAGGGTAAGCCTCAAACCTTTTAAAAAACATTAGGAATAGGAGAATGTGACTGGTTCCTGGACCGGAGTGCTAAAGAGTTGGAGCTAAACCATCAATTTTTCAAGCTATCAATTTAATGTACCTTATATCAATTTGTTGACCGAGTGCAGAAAAATATAGTCGAAAGCAATGAGTCAATGGAATTAAGCAATTCGTCATGGTCTCATTTGTATTTCATGATCACCTCTTATATTAAATTAATTCCAATTAAGCAGGTTTGAATACCTTATCAGCAAAATATGGAAGATTGTCGTGAGGATTCTCCGTGAAGTATTTCGTCAAAAGCTTCTTGTCAAGCTTCATGAGTCAAAGCAGAACAATAGGGTAAACAATTTTTGCACTTGATAGAAAACAACAAAAATGTAAACAATTTAAAGTCAGTAGTTATGTTTCCTCTGAAGTATCATGCTGGCAACATCAAAAGAAGAAAAGTGGTTCAGCACCTTGGATTCGTCCACAGAGATAGGAAGATTTAAACGATATTGTGCAGAAAGTGCAACCGCGATTTCATCATCTGTCGTAATTCTAAAATTGCTCTTCTTCATCACCTGTACAAATCAAATTATGGGAGAAATAGCTAAAATAGGGAATAGAAAAACCAAGTCAAAACCAAATAACTCCTTCCTACAACAAATACAGCTAGTGGTGGCAGCAATCTGTGAGAGAGGGAGAAAAAACGTATGATCAAAAGTTCATACGAGCAATGATGATGTGAATTTTAAAACAAAGAAGATTATAAAACCCACCGATTAAGCAATAGGGAATATTTCTTCTCAAGCAATGATATAAAAATGATCAAAATTATATTGAAGGATTGGTGAATAAGAAACCATGGAGTGTGGTAAAAACTTAGCAAATTCTATGGCAACAGTACCTGAAACAGGTGTCCCAGAAATTTTTGTTCCAAAACATCAGTTTCCTCGGTAGAGAGATTTTGCTGCTCCAATTTCAGAGCCCCGTGTATAGGATCGAATAACGCATATAAATGCTGCATATAAATGAATCTAACTTAAACATCGAACCAAACACAAAGTTTAGCGAATAATTCTGAAAAATGATGAACAGTAACCAAGTAAGACGTTGTGATACCAAAAGATCATCAAAATGCAGAAGATACCAAGCTCGAATCGAGTATTCAACTCTCTGGCAAAGCTTTATAAACTCATTCCGGTCCGAATCGTCCTCTGCTAAACACATGAAAGAACCGAGTAAGGAAAGGAGAGAAAAACAGAAAACGAAGCGCAAATTAACAAATTGTGATTGTACCGAGATGGGCGGACAAGGTGCTGATAAGCCTGGGCTTGAGGATGGGAATAACCGACTCCCTCTCCAAGCGTATGACTTCATTCTTCTTCTTGGACATTGTTCGGAAACCTCCAAAATCAAAGAGAGTACCGTAAACAGAAATCAATTGTTTGGATTGCCAGTTCGTGACAGACGAATCCATGGCCATGGCTTCCCATTTTCAGTTAACAAAACTTCCGATCTCTTCGGCGGGAAATTTTCCACTTCCTTTATTGAAATTGCGTCAAATTTCCAATGGTATCGTTCCTGTTTGGAAAATTTACTGAACTTAAAAAATGCTCAAAATGACCCACCCTTTTAAATGTGTCCAAATGACCTATTTATGAAAGGACCAAAATATCTTTAATTATAAGACATGACCGTTGGAAAAAACCTCGGCCGTGATCATATTAATTCCCGCCCGAGAATCATTTAATTCACAACAACCATTGCCTTTAATTTTGTTGCTTTTGATTTCTTCTTAAGATTGGACTACATTTAAAAAGCAATTTTACTGTTTTGTTTGCTTTGATTTTGAAACATGTTGTCATTTTTAAATTTTAGTTTCGTATTTCGGCATGCTTCTGCTAAGGTTGACCATGAACCTCGGGCGGGAGTTATGGTTTCCCGACCGAGTTTCATAAGAAACGATGAACCTCGGGCGAGGTTTCGCCGGAGGTCAACGGTTGGTGATAGAAAAAGTTGACACAACCTCAAGATTTCTAAGCCTCTGTCATTTTTCTCGAGTTCGATCTCGGGCGAGGTTGAGTCCGAGGTAATTGAAAGAGACTTAACATCGAGTGAGGTTTCTCGCGGTTGAGCCTCTTTCAACTACCTCGGGTTCGATCTCGCTCGAGGTTGAGCCTTTTTCAATTACCTCGGGTTCAACCTCACTCGAGGTCCATCTCACTTCACCGAAATACTTCTTTGTCTTCAACCTCTCACCACACCACTTCAAACATTTCAAATCAAACTCCCGCAGCCACAGA